AGTAGAATTTTATTTTTGAATTTGGATGTGTTTAGGTATGCTGAGTTTTTTTTAAGCATTTCAGGTAAAAAGGAAAATATATTGATACAATTAATGAAACTTCATATAGTATAGCCCAGTGGTCGGCAAACCGTGGCTCACGAGCCACTTGTGGCTCTTTGGCCTCTTGAGTGTGGTTCTTCCACAAAATACCACGGCCTGTTTAGTGTTTCTGTTCTTTGTTCCATTTTGAAGAAGTGACGTTAAAAGAAGTTTAAGTTTAAAAAATTTGGCTCTCAAAAGAAATTTCAATCCTTGTACTGTTGATATTTGGCTCTGTTGACTAATGAGTTTGCCGACCACTGGTATAGCCAGTTTAGGGCACCTGTTGCAAATGGTGCCTGTAGTTTGCTTCTTTGCTTCTAGCTCTTGGCTTCTTGGGGGGAGTAGGGGGAGGAGGGAGGGGGGCGATAAATTGTAAAGGTAATTTATTTTACGTCTTAAATAAAAATGCCTGTTTGGAGTTAGGGAAGAAAAAGCCAGGACTAAGCTCAAGATCAAAGTGGATACTTCTTACACTCTGGCCGGCTTTGCTCAGTGGTTGGAGTGATGACAGCCCATGGACCAAAGGGTTTCGGGTTCGATTTCCGGTCAAGGGCATGTACCTGGGTTGCAGGCTCCATCCCCTGATGGATCAATCACACAGCGAGTGCAGGAAGCCACCAGTTGACGTGTCTCTCTCACTTTAGTGTTTCTCTTCTCCTCCCTCCCTTCCACTCTCTCTAGAAAAACAATGAAAAATATCCTCATTTAGAGTATGGTGTAGAGGTGAGGATTAAAAAAAAAAAAGTGGATACTTTGTTTTTCTGTACTGCATGGCTCATACTCTGATAATTACCTTTTATTCATGGTTGTCAGTACACCGTATCTGTTCTTTTAAACCTGTCTCCTCTGAGGCTATAATTAGATACAGCGGCTTGTTTTTTGTTTTTTTTTGGCAGCATTTACATGTTAATTCCCAAAATGATCTGAGGCCCATTGGAAACAGGGCGAACTACTAGGACCCCGAATCCTGTCCTCCCCAGGGTTGGTTCTTCTCTGGGTGCTCAGATGCTGTGGGAGGCAGAGTACCAGCCCTTTGGTAAACCTCGAATAAACTCTGTCAGGCTCCGCCTCCGTTAGATTGGCTTAACCAGCTTCCTCACGGTATTCACGGGCCCTGAGCGAGGCGTTTTTTTATTAATGAGCTTTGCCTGGAAATACGTGCCCGTTCGGAAGTGGAGAATGATTTTTGTTTGCCAAGGCCTCCATCTCTCATGATTGGTGACACGCCACTTACTTTGAAAGTACTTTTAGAACAGATCTAGCCCCCTTCATGTCCCTGCCCCCAATTAAAAAAATTCGCTGCTTTCCCTGGGGTTAAAGAAGAAAAAAAAATCAAGTCAACGTGAAGATCTGATCGGTTCATTGAAGGATTCATGAATTGGGCCAGCAGCACTCCTCTGGTAAAGGGAGAGGGGCTCTGAGCCGTTATTGGATGAAGCAGAAGGTTTTTCTGGGCAGGAGGAGGGTGGGACGGGGAAGTTAAAAGAGTGGATTATTTCAGGCAGAGTCATTTTCCTGAAGGCAGAGGGTTTTATCAGCCAGATTACAGATTACCTCACCAGCCCAGCCCAGGAAAAGTCTAGATTGATTGTTTTAAAATTCCATTCCTGGGAGAGGCTCATTATTAGGTTAGTACTTAGGTCTCGGTGGGGGCTTACTGTTAAAACTCCATTTTGCGATTTTGTTTCTTCTTAACACTGGGAAGAATGGCAGAGGAAACCAGGTGTTCTGTGAAATATTGGGCCTGTTCATCAGAGTTCTTTTCCTTTAAAAAAAAAAAAATATATATATATATTATATTATATATAAAAATATATATATTATATATTATATATATAATTGATTTTATATATATAATTTTATGATTTTATATATGATTTTATATCACATATATGATATATATATAATTATATATATTATTGATTTTTTACAGAGAGGAAGAAAAAGGGATAGAGAATTAAAACATTGATGAGAGAGAATCATCAATCAGCTGCCTCTTGCACACCCCCTGCTGGGGATGTGCCTCAACCAAGGTACATGCCCTCAACCAGAATCAAACCCGGAACCTTTCAGCCCGCAGGCCGATGCTCTATTCTCTGAGCCAAACTGGTTTCAGCAAGAGTTCTTTTTTCTTAATGGAGATATTACTCACATACCATAAAACTCACCCTTTTTCAAAGGGTGCACTTTGGTGGTTTTTCGTGTATTCACAAGGTGGTATAAACTCAGCACTAATTCCAGGAATTGCCATCACCCCGAGAAGAAACCTTGTATCGTTAGCAGTCCTCCTTCTTCCCATCCGCCCCCTACCCTGGCCGCCACTAATCTACTTTCTATCAAATGCTCTGCTTTCTATTACACTGAAATCTGTCGTTCCGGTGACTTCATGGTTCGATGAAAGGGGAAGTGGGTGGCAGCTCCGTGAACAGGCCTCTTTAGGGCCTAAGCCTCTTCATTTCAGCTCCTCCCTTCCAGGCCACGGTGCAAAGGGAAAAGGGTCAGCTGAGCCTGTGCGCCTGGTTCTCTTGTACGGCTTGGGATTAAATGTGCTTAAAATAGTGAATGTCCGGTGGCAACTTACATTAAGACTGACTTGATAATGAAATGAATTTATGGAAAACACCCTTTTGAATTCTAAGTGCAAATCGCCAAAAAAAAAAAAAAAAAAAAGGATTCCTCTCTACCCTTTTGTTCTGTACCCGGAGAAATATTGAGAATTCACATCCTATAGGAGGGCTTGGTCAGTGAAAACCAGAAAAACAGGTAGCTTGAACAGATTATGGACTTGGGTACATGTGTCAAGTCCGCCCTGAATACATTCTCTGGCTTCCTGCCCCTGGCACGCGAACGAGACCTGGAAGTACTATGATATATGAGTTTTGGAAATGGCTGGGGATTCATTTGGAGTGGGAGGGCAGGTGCCGATCCTCAGCCATCTTCCTGGACTCGAGTGGGAAGAATAGACACTGAGAAGTGCTGACGAAGTATGAAATGTGTAAGGGAACCACTGGGGACCCAGGAGACTGCTCCGTGGGTGCGCCGGGCTGGGAATAAAGATTTATTAGCTGTGATGTGTTCCTAATTGCTCAACTAACTCTCCTGGATTATCATCCCAAATGGTTTCTTAAAGAAGCGGGAGTGCTGGAGCTTCTCCCAGTCTCCCCTTTTTACATAGCTATGTTTTTCAGCCTCAGTGCCGCCTTTGGCTCTCTCTTGGAGAATTGCGTGGCAGGCAGTTCCAGAGACTGGAGTCCCGCCTCAGGGCCGCCTTGATGGGGAGCAGGAGGGATGGACTCCCAGAAACCAGGCCTGTTCAAGCGTGGGTTTGGGGGAAGCTGGTAAAGAGGGACAGAAATCTAAACCACCGGAGTCAGGAGTGGTTGTTGGACCTTTGGACAATAAGAGGTGGTAGTTGGCTTAATGCAGGTGGCCTTTGGTGCCCTGCCCTCTGACTCTCCTGTTATTTTAAGTGACAGATGCTGGACCAGGCTTGGAGTCGATGTCGCTTCCCTTCCCTTGACTTGGCAGATGAAGCAGGAATGCATTATTAGGGATGAATGCATCAAAATGTTGCCGTTTAAAAAGGGCTTTGCAATACAGCTGAGTCCATCCGAAACAAGTATTTTTTTTTTCTTTCTGAAAAACATTAATTTCCTTCAAGGGTGGTTGGTTTTTCTGTTGATTCTGTTCAAGCATAGATGGGGGGTCGGGGGTTTACAGAAGAATATTTTCAACCCCATTGACTTATGCCTGGAACTGTTTTAATCTCTTTTTAAAATACAATAATGCCTGACCTTTCTTGCCCTCATCTCCAAAAGCAATCCCAGTAGGAAAATAGATTAAAAAAAAGAAACTTCTTTTATCCACCCTTACTCTGCACCTCCTGGATCTCCACTACTTTGCAATAACTACTTTTCAGCCATTTGGTTTATTTCCTTACAGTTACTACTCAATGAACATGTAAATGAATCCATGTGTATCTGTAGTGCTTTTTAAAATTATATATATGTGTATATATATATAATTTTTTTTTTTTTTTTTTTTTTACAGAGAGGAAGGGAGAGGGATAGTTAGAAACATCCATGAGAGAGGAACATCAATCAGCTGCCTCCTGTATGCCCCCTACTGGGGATGTGCCTGAAATCAACGTACATGCCCTTGACCGGAATCGAACCTGGGACTTTTCAGTCCGCAAGCTAATGCTCTATTCACTGAGCCAAATGGTTAGGGCTCTGTAGTGCTTTGTAAATGACACACCCAAGCCTTTTCAATAACACTCTAAAGAGGTGACATAACTTTACTTTTTAAACTGAGCTGAAATTCTCTGCTGCAGTTAAAAAAATGTTGCCTGGATATTGTAATTACAGTAAGTTCTCACTTAACCTTGTGGGTAGGTTCTCGGAACTGCTGTCCGACAGGTTACTTGATATAAACAAAGGGCTGAGTTCCTACACTCTCATCAACCTGATGATGAACTGATCTGGACCAAAGTGACAGGGTGTGAGGACGTGCTGTATGAACTTGTGAGATGTAGTGACTTGCGAACAGTTATGGATCGATGTGCGCGTACCCAGAATTGGACTCATCCGCCATGTGAGAATGCGCTTTCCATATTCTGGTGATAGACTTGAGATTGCTTTGAAAAACTGCAAAGCAGTCTTTGTTAATGACGTGAAATATCCCTTTAAGAAGGGGGACCATGCATAGTCCAAGGAGGCCCTTGGAGGTAACAGGGGGATTGCTGCTGAGTTCCTCTGATGCGTGCTTTTTGGGGTGTGTGGGTTCACAGTTAAAAATAGGGCTCTAATTAAAATGGGTGTTCTCAGTGGAAATAAGAACTATATTTTAATTAGTAAATTTATTGTTTCCTTAACTTGTGTGTTTTTTTGTTTGTTTGTTTCTTTCTTTTTAAACAGCAAGCCAGGGCTGAGCAGGAAGAGGAATTCATCAGTAACACATTATTCAAGAAAATCCAGGCTCTGCAGAAGGAGAAGGAAACCCTCGCTGTGAATTATGAGAAGGAGGAAGAGTTCCTCACTAATGAGCTCTCCAGAAAACTGATGCAGGTAAATTCTCTCCTCTCCCCTCTCGCCTCCCCTGCCTGCTGTTCTCTCCAGGAAAAAACACGACATTGATGGAGCAGTTCGCTCAAAACATTTGCTGATGAGCTTGTAGCTAACAGTCTTCGGAGATTAAAAATACCTGGTAAAGATGGCAGCGGTGTGGTTCCCTAGCTCATCCGCTCAGGGGAAGGTGAGCTATGTTACACCGGCGTTTCCAGAAACAGCTGCGGAGCCTGAGGCCTCGGCCTGGGAGGGAGTGCTGGATGCAGTATTTTCGGATAGAGGAGGATTAATACCAAATGTGAAATTTCTTTCCCCCTTTATGTTGAATCTGTAATGAATGCATAAACATTTTTGGCAGCCAGAACTAGATCTTTTGCACTAAAATATGGGGATATACAGCGAAATGTCCATTTGGGGAGGAGGGGGGAAATAAAATCACAATCCATGATTCAAATTACATGCCATTAGTTGTGTTCAGATAGGTGTGTAATGTGTTAATAAATACTAAAAGTTAAAAAAATTATTTGTTTTAAATATTAGAACAACATTAACACTAATAGTTTGTAAAAGACACTACACCAAACATTCAGGAAGGTTTGGTTTTTTTTTCTTTTTTTTTTTTTTAAGTATATTTTATTGATTTTTTACAGAGAGGAAGAGAGAGGGATAGAGAGTTAGGAACATCAATGAGAGAGAATCATCGATCATCTGCCTCTTGCACACCCTGTTCTGGGGATGTGCCCACAACCAAGGTACATGCCCTTGACCGGAATCGAACCTGGGGCCTTTCAGTCCACAGGCTGATGCTCTGTCCACTGAGCCAAACCAGTTTCGGCTGGTTTTTTTTTTTATTTGTTTTTTTAGTTCAAAGGCTCTCCCTCCTTTAACACAGCTTATCCAAAATAGGGAGCAGAGATGAAATCATCCCGGGAGGACCACTGTTGCCATTCGCCAGCAGACTGTGACAGGTAGAAACAGGCCCTTGTATTTTCTATTTCCTGGCATCACTTGCATTCATGAATTTGGTTGACATCTGTATTTTAGTGAGGTGATAATAAAAGGATATTCAAGGCTTTTATAAAAAACTTCCTAAATTTTTTCTAACCATCTAACATAGATTATCCTATAAGAGAAGACCAGAAGCTTTAGAATAGAAGCTTCAGTGTTAAAACCGTATACGGTCCAGGCAACTTTCACTCGATCTTTGTTTTATTCTCATTTTTCTACCTAACTCCTAAAGAAAGATACCATTACAGTCTTGCAAAAAAATTTTTTTTGATTTATATGGCCACTGTTGAAATGGGAAGAATAGAGGTTCTGAGGCATTTGTGTCTGATTGAGATTTATGGCCGTTTCTCATTTTGCTTATTCATGTGCATTCTGATTTTGAGGAGAAAAATAGGGAGAAGGTTAATTTGACCTTTGACTGCATCACCTTGGTAGCGTTTTCTAGCACTAAAGGTATGCAATTATAGTTTGTTGTTCTGAGTGTGGTGTGTAACCAGGCATCTTGATTTTTAACACTGTCAGAAACATTCCTTGTTTTCAACGTTCGTGGCTGTGCAGCCATCCCACTATCCATTTCCAGAACTTTCCCAAACAAACTATGTACCCATTAATAACTCCTCACTCCCCATTTCTGGTTCTTAGGCATTTCTGGAAAGGAGATGGGTGGCAGGGAATTTGGGATTGAGGTCTGCGCCAAGTTCTAGAGCTGTGTCTATTCTCTCACTTAGACATCGGGTCTTACTATTGCCCATTTTGTGGTGAAGACCTAAGAAGCTCTCTTCTATGGCTGGCCAGTTGGAGAGATCTCAGGGAGCTACAGGGAGGATATCTTCAAGGAAGAAGGGCGAAGGGCTAGTGGTTAGTGGTCTATGGTATCCATCACCTGAGCCTCCCCCCCGCCCCCCGCCCCGCCTGGGGGCCAGGATTCATTTCCTGTATTCATCCCATCCTTCCTGGAAGGCTCACAGTTTCTGCCACCCAGTGTGAAAGAACCCATCTCCATCTGGAAGACCTTTAGAGTAACCGGTACCGATAGCCTTGTCCACTGTGTAATCACGTTATTGTGGCTCTCTAGGATGGTTGCTTCTGGATAGGACTTTGTTATGAAAAACCTGCTGAGAGCAACCCCTGCACTGCAGGTGTCACTGATAGGCACGTGCGAACTGATCTGTTCACTGTGGAAGTGTTGAGCATTTTTTCACCCGAAGGCCACTGAGAGGCTATTTGTAGAACTGTTTTGGTTTTGTCACCATGCTTTGACTCTTGTCTCTCCTAGAGATTAGACAATGCTTTTATGTGCATTTCAAAGGAATTCTTTGGGCCTGAGAGCAAAATTAGATTATTCCTATGGAAGAGACACCTTCCTTCCCATTGGCTGACTGAGCTGGTATCTAACACCCCTTCAAGAGATGGGAGTCTCTTCAAGGGTGGATCAGAGGAAATCTCTTTGCCGTTTTAGAGGATCGAGTTTGGGAGAGAGCTTAAAGCACCTCTGAATATGTTAATGCTCCTGAAATAAACACACATACAAAAGAGGCTGGGCAGCTTTTCTCCCTTGCTTTTGTATATATCCAATAGATAGACATAGAATTAAACTCTTATCTGAAAAATCTGTTTCCTTCTGAGCCCAGACTAGGATTGGTTCCCTAGTGAGAAATTGTCCTATAAAGAACTTCTTTATACTTTTGGTAAATTCAGCGCAAGCCTACATCAGAACTAAATTCTTCTGTGGAGATCTTTTATTTATGTATTTTTTATTTTTTATTTTTATTTTTTATTTCAGAGAGGAAGAGAGAGAGAGAGAGGAAGAGAGAGATAGATAAAAACATCAATGATGAGAGAGAATCTTTGATCAGCTGCTGCCTGTACACCCCCTATTGGGGATTGAGCCCACAACATGGGCATGTGCCCTTGACCAGAATCAAACCTGGGACCCTTCAGTTTGCAGGCTGATGCTCTATCCATTGAGCCAAACCCGTTAGGGCATGCCCTGGATATCTTGAAAGAGAAGTTGCAGTTTAATTATAACTTGTAATTAAAATTTATAAGAAATGCTGCCTTAGCAAACTCTTCATCAGAATTTGATTTAGAACTTGCATGTTAAATAAAAAAGTCTAATGTACAGGATAGTGAGTGTAGACAACCATCAAACTTATGAAGAGACTATATTTTAATTCTTCCCACCACAAAAATGAAATGCTAATTATGTGATGTGATAGAGGTGGTGTCACGTCAATGGCCTTCGTATTACAACTTATAAATCTATCAAATCAATAGGTTGTACTCCTTAGATTTACATTGTTATATGTCAAATATATATATGTAATTTTTTTTTAAATCTGAAAAGCTGTTCTCCAAATGTTACCTGCACTTCTATTTGGGTGCTGAACTTATATGTTAGGCTAATTTTTGTGTGCCCCTTTCCTTCTCATTAAAAAAAACAAACAATATGAATTACTTTTGTAATTAAAATTTACAGTGGTTCTCCCTTATCCTTGGGGAATATGTTCCAAGACCCTAGTGGGCATCTGAACCTGCAAATAGTACTATAAATGTGTATATACTACATATAATGTTCTATACATACTATGTTTGCTCCTTTTCACTTAAAGGAAGCACTTGATAGCTTCTCTTTGGCATATCCGAATTGCCAGCATCATTACTCTTATGCTTTGGGGCCATTATTAAGTAAAATAAGGGTTACGTGAGCACAAACACCATGTATGGCATCACCATAGTCGATGTGATGGACAAGATGGCACTAAGTGGCTAATGGGCAGGTAGCCTATGTGCATGGATACACTGGACAGAGAGATGATTCATGTCCCACACAGGATGGAGTGGGATGTACAAAGTTTCATCACGCTACTCAGAATGTATGCAATTTAAAGCTTATACATTCTTATTTCTGGACCACAGTTAACTGCAGATAACAGTGGGAAGTAAGATTGCTGATAAGGGGGGATACTGTATCTATTTTATTTTATTTTATTTTATTTTATTTTATTTTATTTTATTTTATTTTATTTTATTTTTTGTTGTTGTTGTTGTTAATCCTCACTGAAGGATATTTTTTTCACCTATTTTTAGAGTGAGTGGAAGGGAGAGGGACAGAGAGAAACATCGATGTGAGAGAGAAACATCGATGGGTTGCCACCTGCATGCACCAGGACCGAGAAACCTGCAACCAAGGTACATGCCCTTCACTGGAATCAAACCCAGGACCCTTCACTCCACAGGCCAGTGCTCAGTCCATTGAGCCAAACTGTGTAGGGCCTATGTTATTTTCTAATGAGGAAATTTAAAAATTCTGATGCTTGTTTTATCCTTATTTATTGAAACCTCCTTCTGTGTCACTGACTTTGACAGCTCAGAGTCTTACTATGGTAGTTGCATCTGTTTGTCATGGACAGCAATACACAGAAGCTCTCTGCAGAGTCAGGCTCATTTGCAGATAACAGAAGATTCTAGATTGCCCAGATCGTTAATAGCAATTGTACATAGAAAGCTCTAATGATTAGTTTAACTGTCTTGTCGTTCTGGATATGATTCATTCCACTGGCTTAAACTTTTTTCTTTGATTCCTAATTCCCCTGGCTAACTGTTAACCATCAGTCACCATTGCCAACTGGAAGACCTGTCATTGCTGAGATTAATTATGGTTTTAGCAGTTGTGGATTTTCTCACTTGCATTTTATGTAAGCCTGACGGGTCACGTTCACATCCTGCTCTCCTGGGAACCCTGTTCAATTGTTGCCCGCACTCTTCTCAACCATACCACTGCCAGAAGTTAGTGCATACTTTTTTCTTCTTTTTAAAACCCTGAAACAGGATTGAGATAAGAAGAGTGCTGAGCATTACATATATCTCCGATTCTTTTCTATCTGATGCAGCTTTGAAATTTCAGACCGTAGAATAACAAATAGGTTTGTAGTATTGTAATTTTGATTCACGTTAGAAATCAGATCTTGTCCTCAGAAAATAATGCCACT